ATAATTTCATAATTCCTTTGTCTTTTTTAAGATAAGATAAAGGCTGAGGTGCGCCTCAGGGATTTGCTACGGTAAATTGCATGGCCATGAGTGGTGGTGATGGTAGTGATGGAGGGATAAATAGAAATTGGGTAGTGGTGGTGGTGGTGGGTAGCGATGGTCTTGTAGGGAAAACGAAGGCGGTGGCAGTCGTTGTAGCACAACATAAATGTGGTCATGGTGGTGGTGGTGGTGGTGGTGAAACAATATAAATGTGGTGGCGGCATTGGTTGTAAAACAATTTAAACAACTTTGTGATAGTGGTGCTGGTGGTAAAACGATTAAAATGTGATTGTCGTGTAGTTGTCGGTGGTAAAACAATAAAAATGTAGTGGTGCAGATGGTTGCAAAAGGAAGGAAACTGAGGCACGTAACAAGAAATTTTGCTTGATGCTAGAAAGAGAGTAGTTTGCCTTCAAAATACACCTTGTTCCAAAATGGCGACAATTTTTTTGTTCTTTTATAGTTATGTTAATTGGCCGTCGATGCCTCGATCGCATCTTCAGAATTCAAAAGAACTTCTAGGTAGAATCGAGGCATCCAGGGCTAATTTACATGAATATAAAAGAATAATAAAGTCGTAGCAATTTTGGAATAAGGTGTATACACAATACACAATTTGTGCGCCAAAAATCAGTGAACAGGAACAAAAGCAGTTTGCCGGACAATGAAAGTGGCAGGTCAAAAAAGGTACTTGCATAATTACGGGTGTCAGTAAAACGCGGCGGTTGACAGTAACCCTAAATAACCCTATCCTAACCCTAAACATAACCCTAAATAACCCTAACCCTAAATATTCCTAACCTAACCTAAACCTTAAAACCCCCTTTCTTATTTTTTTAAAAAAAGATAAACCCCGACCCCGCGTTTTATTGACACCCCATAATTAAGTTAAGATTAAGTCATAGGCGAGTTAGTGCTTATTCCTTTGACAAAATGAGTCAACCGATGAATAGTTTTTAGTCAATTAAAGAGAAGCGACTTTTTAAACTTAAAAGCTATAAAAAAAATTGCGTAAAAACTATTCTTAAAAAAAATTAAAGTTTTTACGCAATTTATTTTTTATAGCTAAAAGTTTTTACTCACGCAATAAAAAGCAAGCCATTCATTGACCCGGCAATAATTACAAACTTGCTCAACGAGTATAACCAACCAAGTCTCATGCGCCCTGGGGACGAGTTTAAGAGTTTAACAACCTAAAAATTAATATTATGCACACAAGTCTTTATATCTTGATGAGTTCCTTCGCGTATTATTCATGAGAAAAAAAAATGCGGCATCATAAATTAATGACATTAATGAATTCCTGCCCTTCTTAATGAGATTCCTACCCAATGAACGAATTTTTTCCTACTATGCTACTCGCAGAACTTGTGTCTAAATGATGTTGGCCTCGCTTGGCTTTGATGTGATCTTAATGTATTCGCTAATCGTACCTTTAACCTAACTGTTTCCTTTGGTCTTATCCCAGGTAAATACAGCTCTGGTTTCGTCTGTGAACACAAGTGGAAGATAATCAACCATGATGGCATGAGGTTATAGCCCTGGCTAAACTAGTTAAAATATAATAGTCAAGTGCTATTAGACAGGTTTCTTGCCTATTTCCAATTACTTTTTAGTGGGAAAAGAGGAGCTTGAATTTGCGATCCAAAATTGGCTGGTCTTATAATGGAAGATTGAGACAAGAAATATATGGTACTGTGTAATCAGCTAAAACGACCATATGTGGGTTGAGTTTGTTGTTGGTTCTCTCCTTTACTCAGAGAGGCTTTTCCGGTTTTCCCTCCCATCAAAAACAAAACAAACACTTCCGAATTCCGATTCGATCAGAAATCAGGTAGACGACGAACCACTAAGTGAATGTGCTGCCTTTAAACCGTTACTTATTTATTTTAAAGTTACATTCAACTTAAATTGAGCAGCGCCTCAAAAGCTCCTCACGATTTGAATAGGGTTTAAAAGTTCTGAGCAATTTTTACTCATCTTAGCATTTAACTGTAATGACTGATTTAACTCAACTGTATCTTAAGTTTCATACCACGTTTCCTTTGATCATTATTGCATGTTTTTTGTATCCTATCAGCTCGTAGGTAAAGTGATAGCCATCAAGAGTAAAGCTGAACACTGGTCCTGTCCAAGAAATTTTCACGGAGAATGTGCTATTTCCTTCTTCTTGTACAAATTCGCCGACTTCTATATTTCGTACCTTGACATCGTTGTCCGGTGGAACTAAAAGCACAGAAGAATAGAAGTACTTGTATTAGGGAAATAATTTCTAGAATAATAGCCGCCACCCATGCCCCATGCAATTATTGTGCTCAATAGATGCCAACCTAATCTTCCAGGAGAGAATAACCCCATTATAAATTCTCCGCCGCCTAGGTACCAGTTAACGACGTATTTATCTTAAGATGTTATTTGAATTTAAATATTTTCATTGATATAGGTGGTTTTCATGCAATCTCGGGAGACACAAATAACAATGGTGAAATGAACAAATGCTGGTGGACAAACAAAGCCAGCTAATGAGCGATCTTTTGTTTACCGTCCACCATCATGGCGGCGATGACGTAACGTGAAAACCACATATTTATGGCCTTGCCCTCAAGACTGTTTTTTTTCTTTATGTTTAAAAGAAAGTTAAATGGTATTTCCCCTAAAGGTTAATCGCTAATATAAAGATTTAGCCAGGGCTAAAAGCGAAGCTCTCGATAATATTTATAGTTTGTTCAAACAAAATATAAAATCAAGTAATGCTAAGCGGCAAAAGGTAACGAGAACGGTGAAAAAACAGCAATAGGTCTAGGTCAACTTTGCACCTGCAGCACACTTTTTTTGTAAATTTCTTTTGCACGACTACAACGTGAAACTTCCAGAAACGGCCTGGTTACACGTTTTATGGAGGAAAAGTAAGTCGTACGTGTTCTTTCACGTCACTCATTTTCACCCTGGTGCACGCAAGCATTTCTCATTTTCTCACCGCCGTTACAAACTTTCATGTTGCTCCTCCTACTAACAAAGTCTCCTTTGCTTTTCTCTTTCGCTCTAGCTCTTTTTCTCGTTGAGCTTCGCTGGCCTGTCGCCCTACTTTCTCTTTTCTCTGTCTTCCTCCTTCTCTATATTCTAAATTTGTGGACATGACAATTAATCTAAGCTTAGTACAACACGGCTGCAGAAACATTTTCCGCTTTCCGTTTTCGTCTTTATTGACTCTTTAGTTGTGTTTGCTTCACAAAACGCGGGTGGACGCTTTCGCGCCAAAATAACCTGACATTTGACATCGGCTTACATGTAGTGGGTGTACGGACGGTCGGCGTTCGGGCGTACGCTACGTCATAACCAAAATTTTCTTTCTTGCATGGGTCTCCAATTTGTCTTACCCATGGTGCGTCGCTATCAATATTAGGACAGGTCTTAGAGTTAGGGTGCCGAACACTATGGACGAGCTCCGCAGATAAAACAGGACCAGTACTTGCATTATTACTTTTACATGTAAAAACGCTTTAATTTAGCATTTGGGAAGCGTTTTGAGCTTTGTCATTGATACCTTCAATCGTTGTCTTCCCAAGTTGTTCGTTTCCTTTCAACCACGCAAATTCGTATTTGGGAGTAACCTGAATGAAAACCAATATGTTGTTGTTTAATTTTATTTCACTAAACAGTCCGAAAAAACTAAAATTTCTTTACATGTTGAAAGACTTCAACATAAACCCTCTAAATACAGCAACATGCTAAAACACCAACGATTCCTTGATTGGTTCACATTATATATAGCTATATAGCTATAGCTATTCTAATTATTTAAATATTATTTAGACAATTTTATTTAAAAAAACTATTAAAATCCTATTTACAATTAATTCGCTTAAAAAAAAAGAAAAAACTATTCATTCAAAAACACTATTTACAATTTCTGTCGATTTAAAAAGCACTTAATTTAGCTTAAAAAAAAGTTAATTAAAACTAAGAAAAATTTTTTCGAATTAAAAAAACATTTCATTTCAATAAAAAAAAAACTGTCAACCTGTAAGATTCAAAAGTTTCTTTCAACTGCTAAAAAACAAAAAAAAAAAGTAATAATAATAATGAAATAAAAAGATATATATGAAGTAAGGAAACACATCAATAGTCCGATTTAATGGCTCCTTCAGCAACTTCGACGTCGATATCAACATTCTTAATGTCACATGGCACTCTTCTGGTCCTAGAGCCTCGAAGACAAACCAACGCAGATCTCAAGAGCGCGAATGAGGTTCTGGTTCTGATCCATGAGATGGTTTTGGCATACTGCTCCCCTTTTTTGATGGCAATCAGCTGTGCTAAACGGCTATGATACTTCAAGCACTCCTTTCCCAGGAATTAGCATATGAGATATTGCATCTTCTAATGGCTCTAACAGATCTTGAATGTCCGGCAAAGTTCTTAAAAAGTACGTCCACCGATGTTTCAAGCCAAAGGTGTAGGCTGCGTAACACGCTTGTGGTTGAGATAGAGCAAATTCGGCTAACTTAGCTATGTCATTGATCCAATTGGTCACCTTTTCGCTGACATATTCCTCTAAATACTCCCTTGATCCTATTGCCGCCCCAAGGTGTTTCTGCCCTTGTACTGTTACGTTAATGGACGTGTCCTTGAAAGCTTCCCTGACACTTTCTTCCTTAGCTGGTTTTGCGATGATCCTGCATTTCCTGTCGTTCGGAAAATAACCAAAATCCGGACCAAGGGTGCTAAGGGCATCCCACCACGTCCTAGCATCATCTGCAAACCAACACTGCTTCACACTGGACGCTGCAAGTAGACTCGTAATTAAAGGCTGGGTGTTTAAGGCATATAGACCCATAGCAAGTGGATCGCCCTGTATTGTTCCTTCTGCTGACAATCTCTTGTCCACCAATGACAAATAGCCGAGCTGGCTGTCTGTAGGTATTAATAGCGTAAATTGCTATTATAGGACACAGAATCTAGATGTTGTGCAGTGCAGCTGCTCTGTTGAGTGCGTTGAATGCATTAGAGGCGTCGATGAGCAGTACGGCATCAGTGTCATCTGATTCAAATAGATTATGCATAGCCAGTATTGCAGCCTCGCTTCCGGACTTTTGTCCAGCACACAGCGGGAGTGAGCCGCTGGCATCGACAACATCCTTCTTCCCAACACTCATTACACACTTTCCACAAATTCTCCTTAAAACTTCCCCGACTCCTATTGGTCTAACAGCACCTTCGCCTTTATCCAGTGGAATCAGACGGTTAGCTACCAGGGGCTCTCTGGTCATAGGATCAATGCATTGCGTACACAGAGTCCTCGTCATTGTGGCTATTGCCTCACACAGCCTTGTCGATGACTGTTTAAAGGACTTGCAAGCAAGGATTCTTCTGAAGCCATTCGCGTCAACCCCAGACGGGCCTCCTGCTCCTTTTGTTCTCAAGGCAGCTTGCCTGACCATCTCTCCGTTAATCTCTGTATACACGGATTCCGGATACTGGTCATCAATTGGCCCGAAAAGCAGTGAACCTAATTTGGCTGATTGTGGATTGGGATGTTTCTGTTTTAACTGCGACATGACCTCATCTGTTAAAGACAGCACACCACCACTAGTTGTTTCACTCAGGAAACGCAGCGCTGAGTTGATTTGACCTTCCAGTACAAGCTTAGCAAAAACCTTAGATCTATCGGGCGGTTCCGACGCCTTGAGTTTTCCGATACGACCTTGAATAATTCTACCTTCGCGTAATAACTTATTAATTTCACCTTGCCTCCAAAGTATTAGGCGCTTAGACAAGACATCTTGATGATCTTTTGCCTTAGACTTCGGGCTTGGCTTTTGGAGCCCTACAGCGAGAAGCACAAAAGCTGCTTTCAGGGATATGTGCTGATTGTCGGAACCACTATTCCAGTCATTAATATGGAAAGTCACTTGATCAATAAAACTCCTTCCTATTTTCCCATACGGTACAAGAAATACGTTTTTTCTCCAGGTTGCGATCTCGTTGTAAGCATCTGTTATGACTGAGGTCGATATAACAATTGCATTACCATCGCTTCGTTTCCCCCAGTTGATCATAGATGGCTTGTAAATGGTATTATACTCTGGAAGGCATCCCGGGCTGTTTAAGTGGTTTTCACTTTGCTCTTTCTGCTCTGCGTCTCCTGGGATTTGAGGAGAACTAGCTATATGTAAATCTTGGTTTGATGAGGCTAACAGATTAGCATATTGTGATTCACTCCCTGTTTCTTCAAGAATAGAGAAATCTGTATTTATGGGAAAAGAAGTAAAGCCTCTCGAGTTTGCTCCGATTTGAGCATCCGTAGACACGATTCTTTGAGCGAGAACTCTTGAATTTGCGTCCGTCTGTGCCTCCCACGATAGGTTTTCTGAGCTCTCTTCTAGCGTTTTCTCAAGTCTAGCTGCTTGATCTCGTAAGTTCTGGCTTGAGAGTCCGAGATCTCCGTATCCTTTCGCATCCCAGAGCTCACTCATAATTCTGATATAGCCTTTTTTCCTCCCATTACCATCCAGCGGTGGTTGTTCCAATAGTGTCATAGCCACGGCCTCTCGTTTGCAGCTTAGAAGATCGGCATTCATTTGTTCCGTCCATTTGCGTCTAGGTTTTAATTTTCTTCGGTCAGTCATTCTTATAAATAATAATGCTGGCGATAATCGGAAACTTTTGGCTATAAACAATTCCAAAAAAAAGCTGCTTTAAACATTTTAAGAAATTATCTTTGCCTCCGAGGAAACGTGACCGTACCGACCGGGAAATTATTTTGAATGAATAATAAAATAATTATTGAATTCAGCTTTCGTATCATATGAAGAATTGTGGAGATCTCGGAGGGTGTTATCTGCCTCGGCCTACGGCCTCGACGGATAACCCCCTCCTCGATCTCCGTAATTCTTCATAAGATACTCAGCATGATTCATTAATTGATATTATTATTCATTCAAAATATTTCCCCAATTCTGATTGGCTAAGAGCACGCGAATAATTCACCATAACCAGTTACTGATGACCAAATTTGGAAGAATTTTGTGTTTAACGAGGAAATGACGTCAAAAATGCAGCCTTCTACAGGTTAATGCACCGTTAACCGAGAAGACCTGGGGATGAGATTGAGAAGACTGATTTAAAGGAACATCTTACCCCGTAAGTAAACTGCTCGCCATGCATCACCTCCGGAATAATGAAGTAATTTTTTTTCTAAGAGAAAAGGTGACAATAAAGGTTTAAAGGATATATTACATATTGGTTTCCTTTTCCACACACTAAAATTCCCGAAAGCATACTCTTTTTTACCATTATGGACATGCATGTTGAATACTGCTCTGACTGGGCCTAAAACAGCGCCCTGTGGAACATCGCTTAGAATGTCCGGTCACATCCGGGAATTTCGAGCCACGATTTGGTCTTTAAAATATGGCGGAATAATAAGACTGAAGCGGCTTTGAGAGTTTTTGTCTCTGATTGTGAGTTACTCGTAACCAAAATGTCAATGGGTACCACCGGAATGTTTATCATCAAATTCAAGATCTTACCTTCGATTTTTGTCCGCTTATCGATCGGATTTCACTGGGTTTTTCGCGCTAAAAACCAACCAAAAAATCGCCATTTTTATATGGATTTTCACCTGCGTAGACTTTCGCGGGAAGATTACGAACAAAGTTTGCAGAAATCCCAAACGGTACCACCCGATATCGTGACATCTCTCGTCTGCCTTTAAAACCACCACAGTCTTTTAAACCAAGGAATGTGATAAAAACTGGGTTTTTTGTTTTCCTTTGAATTTGACATGAGCCCGTGAGGGGTGGCCAGCGCGAAGAAAATTTCAAGAAAACGTCTTTGAAAGCCAAAAAAAATTCTCTGCGTTTCGACCGCCATCTTTTTTATATTTCAAACTTGTTTCCAGTACTCTTTGAACGTTTTGTTGATTTTAACTCATGTATGCTTCATTTAGAAGTGCCACGGCAAAAAACAGCAAAATACTAACCCCCACCCGGATAGGAAATTTTTTGTTGACCTCAATGGACTGGGAATTCTACGCGACGCTCAAGTAACTTCCTTCTGCTCTAAATAAAAGAAAAAGTAAAAAAAAAAAAAGGACAGGAGACGCAAAATGAGGATGAGGAAGTTAACCCCAACGGTTTAACGTTACCATCTAATGATGCCATCATTATAACAGTGAAGGTATTTTTCAAAATGTTTTTGACCCCGGGAGCTAACCTTGGGAGGCAACCATTCTATGTTACACTTGTACGCTGCTTAGATTACGCTCATTTCAAATACCGTTTTCATTCAGCGAAAATAAATAAAATGAATTTAAAATACTTACAGTTTCGTTCACAACCGTTTCGCGGTTGCCAACTTTGAAAGTAACCTGATATCCTGACAGCCTCCTGTTAAATATTGGTCCATCCCAAGAAATGTTTACATCAAAGCTATCCCCTTTTGGCGAAGGGTTCAATTGGTTTTCTTTAAAATGAACGTATAGTTCGTTCTGATTGATGTCTAAAAAGAGAGAATTGTAGTTAGATTGATGTCAAATTAATTATCAAAATGTTTTTTCTCTAACCTCAGTTAGAACGATCTCTTGCCCTACAGGCGTTAAAAACCTGCTCATTCCTATCACTGAGATGTATCATTCGGAATGGCCATTATTTCATATAGTTAAACTAGTGAAAGAAGGGTTTTGTGGAAACAAAGACTCGGTATTTTTGTTGTTTTTTTTTTCCTCTCTAAAAGTCTGGGTGGCCATGTTGATTTACCGCCGAAACGAGCGGGGTGCTTGAGATGCAAAATTTCACCTAAACTATAACATATTCCTCCCTCGACGGGCTGACTCCTGACTCCCTCCTCCCTCTCCCAGAGTCTGTATGGTCAGCGTTCGGTTGTAGGCTGACGTCATAACCAAATTTTCTCGGATGGATGCATGGATTACCAAATTTTCTTAGCCATGGGGCTCCGTTAGCGCTTCGAGCGCGCGTGTAGCTTCGCTATAAAGGCCGAAAACTAAGGTGAGTCTGAATTCCGGTGAATTGTACATACTTCAAAATGATATTCGCCGCCTGCAGCTGCAAGAAAGCTTTCTTTGATTTCCAATTCCAAGTGTAGAACCGTCGAACGAAGGAGGATGACTTTGAATAATAATTAAGATTTTAGCTTAATTTTAATGGATTTACTGTAGGGTTAAATATGTACTATTTGGACGTTTATTTTTAAGGTCACCTTAATAGTTTTGAAAAGTACACACGGACCGGGGTTTTTTTGTCTCCTAGATCAGGGTTACGTTGCTAAAACTACAAAAGATCCAAACACGAAAGCTTACATTTATTTCAATGTCAGCTTTGACATTGTAAAACGCAAAACAGAGTTTCAATGATATTGATTAACACCTTTTTTTTAGTTATGGACGTACCAAGTCAGCGTTTCTGATATGTAAGACTTGAGCTATTAGAATGCAGCCCCCCAGTTGTTCACTCCAATTCACCTTTTGAAAGGGTCGCTGGAAAAGGGAAATCTGTTGAGCCATATTGCAAACATCCATTAGAATGTGACCTAGTTTCAGTCTTCCTTGGAAATCTGACGCCATCTTGAATGAAATATATGGCAGAGGCTCCTGCCTTTTCCTTCTTCCCATCGTCCCCTGTTTTTCGATTATTGTACTTTTATACCCAGCGGGAGAGTCTTCGGAGGAGACAGGTGGGTACAGGTAACAGCTAATGTGCTGTCTCAAGTCGGTTAAAATTTCACTAACCAGGTATTGTAAAGTTTATGTCCCTCTTCTCTGACTTAGGTAAAAGGCCTTTGAACAGCGGTTCGACCTAAACAGAATCATTAATTTCGGGTCAGATACACATATTACAAAATCCGGGCAAAACGTTGGCTCGTTTATTCGGTGATGTTTCGACAGTTGAAACTCTTTGACGTCCGCTTTACTCGTTTTTGGTCCATATGGAACTATATGCATATTATTTTTCCTATTAACATGGCAATAAGCAGAATTAACGAGGATAGATCTTCCAGAGGTACCTCATTTAGCAAATTTTGACCAATCTGAAAGAGTTACAGACAAAAAAACCAGCAACAATTGAGCAAAAAAACCACTGGTAATTTTGCCATTTACCTACTTCTCTTTACAGCTGAAATTTTACCCTTTGTTAGAAAGAAAGCCAGCCAAAATTCCATGCGAAAGAAAGTCGTTGAAGTGGGAAACACAATTGGCTATATAGAAAAATTCCAGCGCTCAAGTGTCAAACATTAAATGACGAATGAATCGTTGAAGATAGCAAGTCAAGAGCAGCCAATAATTTATTTAGAGGAGTGTCCCTCAGGATGCCATCCTTCACAATTACAGTAAAATTAATATATATATGTGCTACCACAAGCAAACACGTTTTTTAGCAGTACCTACTCTACATTGCGATAGAAGGGATTGTTGTAATTAAAATACTTACTTCAATTTTGTACGTCATTTTAGGTATAAGGTACATAAATGAAATAAACGGATCCTCCTGCAAGTAAATGTAGAAGCATTAGATTTCCGTGATTTACCATGCTACTCAGATATAGCTTGGCTGGAAAAATCAGGCAAAGACGAATAGAACAACTTGCAGTTCAGTAAAGCATGTGGCAGAGGTGTCACATGTTGAGGACTGAATAATTATCACACAATCATGGACAAAAGTCTTGGGACACTTTTGCATTTCCGGGGCGTTTTCCAATTCACACAGGCCCAGCCCCTCCCCTCACCCCGCAAACAATGTTGGACGCGTGTATCCAGAATTTTTTCCGAGTTTCAACCTTTTATAGTGTGGGGGAGGGAGAACTGCAAGACAGTTTCGAAAAGGATGCACTGTTTTAAGAGGGAACCGAGAAATAACATGAAAATATGAATATTGCAGTACTGTCATAAGGACTTTTGTCCAGGATTGTAAAAATTGTAACACCACGTTGGATGGAACAAGCCAGTTCTGTGGAGTCAAAGCACGATATAGTTGCAGGTCGACTGAACCGCGCCAAGCACACAAAGAGGAACTACGAGAGATAATCAGCAGCGGATGTTACAAGTAACATCTGAGTCTAGTTTCTGAAACAGAAAAAAAAAACCAAAACAAACAAACAAAAAAAAGACACCAGAACCTAGACTGGTGATACAACCAACTTACCTGTAGCCCAGACCTAATGTAGTCGAGACTTATTTCCCCAGAGCAGCTGTTATTTTTGTACATGAACAACGTGACAAGGTATAGAACCACTTTTTTGTAATGGTAAGCAGGTGGATCCCAGTTTATAGTCAAATTAAATGGATAGTCATCTTCTGCAGTTAATGGAATAGCACTTGAGATATTTCTGACTACCCTGTCCTCTATTGGTGCCTCTGCAGGATGAACTGAAATAAATAAATATATATAAATAAAAAATTGGCCAGTTAGAAGAACTCATGGAGATATCAATTATTAAGTCGCGAATGAATGGATCAGTG